TTTCTTATTCAAACAGTGATCTTGATCTTTAAGAGTCTCGCACAGTGTAAGTGATGTGAAAACCACACCAAACACGTGAGACAGGAATGCAGGTTTCTACGAGATTACACGGCTGAGTAACCCAAGACTGTTTGATGACGCCTTTCATAGTTAGTTATGGGGCAGAGTCAACTCAGAACTAGAAACTTGGTCTTCCAGCTGGCTCCTTATCCATTACTCTTTTTATGCCACATAATTTACAGAACAGAAAGCCTTTAGATATACTCACTAACATCAACAAAGTGTCTTGGGCTTAAAACCTAGTCTGTCTCCAATTCGTTTCTCCTGAAATTACTAGGATCCAGTGCACTTAAGATCCTGACACTAGGAGAGTAAGCAAAAACTTTACCAAGAAAACTGAGTTATCACCTGAAAAGCCTCACATCAGCTTCTGCAGTAATGCTTTAAAACACAGTGCATGGCGTCAGAGTGTGGCACAGCAGGTCGGATCCCCCCTCGTGTCATCAGCATCCCACATCAGAGGGCCTGTTTTAGTCCTCGCTACTCTGCTTATGATCCAGCTTCCTGCTAATGTGCCTGGGAAAACAACAGAGCATGGCCCATGACACCCATATGGGAGTCCAGGATGGAGTTCTTGGCTCTTGGCTTTGGCCTGGCCCAGATCTGGTTATTACAGCTGTTTGCAGCGTGAATCAATAGATGGAAAGATCTCTCTGTCTCTCCCTCTTTCTTGCTCTGCCTTTCAAATAAATATTAAAAAAAAAAAATAGTATTCAATGAACATTCTAAAAGGACTAATAGAAGACACATGCATTCAGAGAGATGTAGTAAGAGTCAGAAATGTATGGTAAGACCTGATTCACACAGGCATATCATTAACAGGACAAGGTACATGATCACCAAGTATCGTGGCTTCTAGGACAACCTGATTACCTTCACCTAGGAAACCTATTAACTAACTTATCTTTCTTGTGCATATAGAAAGTTCTGTCACTAGCCAGTGTAAGCAGCCCAAAGAACCGGCAGAAAGACTGATAACGTGCCTTCTATCAGCTCATCTAAAGTAGGTCCCCCTTACTAAGTCGGTGCACTGTCCACAGCCTTTCTCAACCAACTGCTTCATGTGGCGTACATCTGCAGATCAGCCACCTCTCCACTCTTCCCAAGCTCTGTAAGGGCCCAGACCACCCCCAATGTTCACCACTGGAACACAGTGCCTTACCCAAGATAGCTGAAGGCTGAATGGCTGTCAAATGAATGGAAGAATAACCTGGAAGAACCAGATGGACTGGGAACATCTATTTTTTTTCCCATAAAAGTAGGGCACAGAGAAGACAACTGACATGTGGTTGACAGATGCTCAACTGGTTGGAGTATAATCCTAAGAACACTGGGGCGCCTCTAGGTAAAACATTCCAAACAAGGGCCCAAACAAGAAAGCAATCCTCTCCACTCTTCCTGCCAGCCTGAGGAAGGAGAACCAGGGCCTTGTTGATTGCTGTCTGGCTGCACTGTTCTTTTAAGATTTATTTTATTTTTTATTTGTTTGAAAGGCAAAGTTGCAGAGAGAGAGAGAACTTCCATCCAGTGGTTCACTCCCTAAATGGCTACCACTGCCAGGGCTGGGCCAGGCAGAAGCCAGGAGCATCATCAAGGTCTCCCACATGGGTTCGGAGGCCCAAGAACTTGGGCCCTCCTCTGTCTCTTTCACAGGCGCCTTGGCAGGAAGCTGGGTCAGAAGTGGAGCAGCAGGACTCGAACCAGCACCCATGTGGGATGCCAGCAGTGTGGCAGGCGATGGCTTAACCAGTATGCTACAGCACCGCCCCCAGGCAGCTCTGCCGCTAACTACTTCCCTCTGACACTTCAGAACCAGGAACCCATTCTCGCTGTGAAAGCTGAAGGTGGGCCCTTAAATGGTAGGGACTCAGTTAAAAAAATCCTCTTCTGTTACAGTTGTTTAAGAACCTCGAAGGCCTGCTCAGCTCTGTCACCTACTGCTGCAGCTGCAGAACGCCAAGGATTTACAAGACAACTCAGTCTGTGACAGGAACCGCTGACAGACACCTTGTTTCTTTCCACAGAAGCCTGGGAGCTTGAGGATGAGGTGGCTGAGGAGCAGTTCCGAAAAAGCCAGAGGGCCTTGGTTTACATCCTGGTTTAAAACCTGGGGGACGCTGGCAAGCCATTTACTTCTCCAAGACTCAGTTTTCCTATTTGGAAAGCCACCGCCTGTGATGCTGGCATCCCCTAAGGGGACCAGCTTGAATCCCTGGTGCTCCACTTCCGGTCCTGCTCCCTGCTAATGGCCTGGGAAAAACCATGGAAGATGGCCCAAGTGTTTGGGCCGCTGCCACCCACGTGGGAACCTCAGAAGAAGCTCCTGGCTCCTGGCTTTGGCCTGGCTATTGTGGCCATCTGGGGAGCAAGCCAATGGATGGAAGGAACCTATCTATCTCTCCAACTCTTTCAAATAAATAAATCCTTAAAAAAAAAAAAAAGGCAGAGTGCCGTGACCCCCATACAACCCTTGGCCACAAATGCAAATAAAGTTCCAGTCCTTAGGGACCTATTATTCCCATAACTTTGCCTCACTGTGGGGGGGGGGGGGGGCTAGCAGAAGGAGGGGGCCTAAAACTGTTGTTACCTCCACTGCATCAACACATAGAAGATGCCCAGTGAATACCCAAGGGGGAGTGCCAGAAGAAGTGAGGGTGGGGAGCAGCCAGGGACCGCCCCGCGGCTGCCACCTGCACTATCCCTCAAGGTAGCCACTAGCTACGGTGGCCACTGAGCACCAGGAACGAGAGAGTCTGCACGGAGACGTGCTGTAAGTGGACAAGACCTGATGTGCAAACAACAGTGGAGACAAAAGTAGACTGTGCATATCGACTCCACATTGACTGGATTCCAATAAATGATTATTAAAAAAAAAAAAGTTCACCTGTTTCTTTTTACGTTTTAATGTGCATGTTAGAGATTTTACAATATGCACATACGTGGCTCACATGCCAGCATTTTATGTCTGGTATTTCTACTGGACAGCGCTGACCTACAACAATACCTAACGCCGGTGCCGCTCTGGAAGGCCGAGATGGGGTACTCCGGGTCCCCCCACTCTGCAAAACCAAGGGGTGGAGAGCAGCGAGGCGGGGTCGGCGTAGCCCTGGAGCCCCGCGGGACGCTGGGGACCGCGCACCTTGAGCCGTATCCCGCAAGGCGGGCGGGGCGCCCTTCTGGGGAAGACAGTCCTGGCCCCCACTGAGCTCCCACGACCCCCGTCCGAAGCCCAGAGCCCCGGTTCTCGGCGCCCCGCACGGCCCGGCGCGGCCTGGCGGGAGGCCCGAGGGAGGCCCAACAGCGTCGCCCGCGCGCTTAGGCCTGGCCCGGACGCAAAAGAACCAGCTGGCCCACCCGCTCGGCTAGGAGAGGCCCAGCTCACCTCAGCTGCCGATCGTACTTCTGCTCCTTAAGCAGCTTCCCGGGCTCCGCCATGGCTGCGCCTGCCGCGCAAAGAACAGCAAAGCCGCGGCCGAGCGCCACCGCCGGCTCCTCGCGCGCGCAGGCGCACTCAGCATCTCTTCGCCGCCGCCTCCTGCGCACGACCCGCAGGGGGCGCCGCCACCGAACTGCGCACGCGTGACAGGTAAGCCCGGGGTAGGAGGCCGCGGCCCGGAGCCTGGTCGGAACTGGGTGTCTGTGTCCGTGCAGTAACTGTGAAGGACTCCGGCTTTGGGCCCAGGCAGACTTGGATTTTAACCACTTCAGTCCTCAGCTGTGTGATGGGGATAAGTGGAAATTTTGGGGTACATAGGGCTAGACTCAAAAAAACTTACCTGAATAATAACTTCCGTTATTATGATCATCATTGCCCGCCCCTTTCTTCCATCCTTGCTCAATAAGAGCCCACATCGGAGGCCGTTTTCAATAGCAAAGCTGGGCCGGCACCGCGGCTCACTAGGCTAATCCTCCACCTAGCGGCGCCGGCACACCGGGTTCTAGTCCCGGTCGGGGCGCCGGATTCTGTCCCGGTTGCCCCTCTTCCAGGCCAGCTCTCTGCTGTGGCCCGGGAAGGCAGTGGAGGATGGCCCAAGTGCTTGGGCCCTGCACCTCATGGGAGACCAGGATAAGCACCTGGCTCCTGCCATCGGATCAGCGTGGTGCGCCGGCCGCAGTGAGCCAGCCGCGGTGAGCCAGCCGCGGCAGCCATTGGAGGGTGAACCAACGGCAAAGGAAGACCTTTCTCTCTCTCTCTCTCACTGTCCACTCTGCTGTCAAAAAAAAAAGCAAAGCTGGCTGCAGCCCTGCTTACCAGAAAAGGTGCCCCCCCCCCCATGGAGGGAAGCTGGGGAGCACCCCCCACCCCTTCCCAGGAACATTTCCTGGGCCGTGCGGATGGAAGGAAGGGCAGTTTAAGCAAAAGGAAGAGCAGATGTTGCCCCAGGGAGGCAGGCTGTTGGTGCTCGAGCCGGTCTGGTCAGATGTAGGAGAGCAAGTGGCCAGGGGAGGCTTGAGAGACAGCAGGGGTCAGGTTATGACGACCGTGAACATGGAAATAAGGAAGTTAAGCCCCCCACTTCCTGAAAAGAACCACTTGTTGGGAACAGACAGCTGTGGGAGATACCCCAGGAAGAGAGGAGAGAGAGGGGGCAAGCAGGAAGGGCATCCTGCCAATGTCTCCTGGACCCACACGTTAATAATTGCCCGAAATAAGGAGAAAATGAGCACCCCAACCCCACTTCCCCCTAGGAAGCAGACAAGGGAGGGGCCCCGTTTGACAGCAGTGACGTGAGGATGGATGCACTGCTGGGTGAGGGTTGGGGCACACCCTGGGACACACCGATGGGAAACAGATAAGGAGGCTTTCCCAGCTCATCCCGTTTCTGCTGTCACATTTCCTTCCCCTGTTGGACAGGTGAAATATAGGGGACCATAAAACGCACCCAGGGAACGTGGGACAGGTGAGAGTTCGCTGGGGGAAGTGGGATGGAATGCACATTCTCAGGCCCAATCCCAGAGCTGCTGAATCAGAAAGTCTGGTGTGAAGCCCAGTAAAGTCTGTTTGTTTGCTTGTTTTTAAAGATTTATTTTATTTATTTGAAAGAGTTACAGAAAGAGGTAGAGACAGAGAGAGTGGGGTCTTCCATCTGCTGGTTCACTCCCCAGATGGCCACAACAGCCGGAGCTGCACCTGCAATGGCCAGAGCTGAACCAATCTGAAGCCAGGAGCCTCTTCTGGATCTCCCACATGGGTTTAGGGGTCCAAGCACTTGGGCCATCCTCCGTTGCTTTCCCAGGTACGTTAGCAGGGAGTGCTATTGGAAGTGGAGCAGCCGGGACTCAAACCGGCACCCGTATGGGATGCTGGCGCTGCAGACTGGGGCTTTAACCCCCTGCGCCACAGTGCCAGCACCAGCACCAGCCCTAGCCCAGGAAAGTTTTAATAAGCCCTCCAGCTCCAGGTTTTTTTTTTTTTTAATCAATTTATTTATTTGAAAGAATGACAGCGAAAGGAGAGGGTGATCTGCTGACTTACTCCCCAAATACCTGCAACAGCCCGGGCTGAGCCAGGCCAAAGCCAAGAGCTGGGAGCTTGATCCGAGTCCCCATGTAGGTGGCCGGGACTCATTATCATCTGCCTCCTAGGCACATTAGCAGGAAGCCGGATCAGAAGCAGAGGCAGGACTGAAACCCAGATCCTCCAATATGGATGTGGGCATCCCAAGCAGTGGCTTAACCCATGGTACCATAACGCTCACCCTGCATCCAGAGGATTCTGATGCATGTTCAGGCTTGAAAACCATGGACCTAGGCCAGTTTCCCCCTGAGCGCGTGGCAAAACAGAGCCCTCTTAGCACAGTATCACTCCCATTTACTGAGCACTGGATGTGCATCACCTCTTATGCTTATAACCACCCGATACAGTCAGGAGTGTAACACCCTATTTTAAAGGTTTATTTTATTTATTTGAAAGACAGAGTTACAGAGAGAGGTAGAGACAGAGAGAGAGGTCTTCCATCTGCTGGTTCACTCCCCAGATGGCCACAACAGCCGGAGCTGCACCGATCTGAAGCCAGAAGCCAGGAGTTTCTTCCGGGTGCAGGGGTCCAAGGACTTGGGCCATCTTCTACTGCTTTCCCAGGCCACAGCAGAGAGCTGGATTGGAAGAGGAACAGCCGGGACTAGAACTGGCGTCCATATGGGATGCTGGCACTTCAGGCCAGACATTTAACTCGCTGCGCCACAGTGCTGGCCCCAGTCACACCCCATTTTAGACAGCTGAGTCTTGGAGAGAAGTGAAGAAGTACCAAAAATCAAAAGGTGGTTGGAGCTTAGAAACAAATACCCCAACAAGTCTGGCTGGATCCCAGCCCATTTCTGTCATTTCATCCATTCTTTAGTCTCAGCCAGAGGAGACTGGATCTTTGGGCTCTCAGGCAGTTTGAGGAAGCATCAGTTAGTGGGAAGACCAGCCAGGAAGAATAGTCACAACCCAGGTCAGCCTCCCAGGCCCTGACCTCTAACCTTCCCTGCCTGTCCTGGCCTATGCTAGCCCTTCTCACCCTGGTGCTGCTCAGTGGCCAGTCTCTCTCTCTCTCTCTCTCTCTCTCTCTCTCTCTCTCTCTCTCTCTCTCCTCTCTAAAATATTTATTTATTTGAAAGGCAAGTTGCAGAGGGAAAAGGAGAAACAGAGAGAAAGAGAGATCTTCCATCTGTGGCTTCTCTCCTTAAACAGCAGCAATGGCCAGGGCTGAGCCAGGCCAAAGGCAGGAGCCTGGAACTCCGCCCAGATCTGCCACGTGGGTGGCAGGGGTCCAAGCACTTGGGGCATCTTCTGTTGCTTTCCCAAGCACCTTAGCAGAGAGCTGGATCAGAAGTGGAGCAACTGGCACTTGAACTTGTTTTCATGTGGGATACTAGCCTTGCAGGTGGCTGCTTAACCCCCTGTACCACAATGCTGGCCCTTCATTGGCCAATCTCTTGCCTCTCTCCCAACCCCAGCCCCCACCATGCTCTCTGAGGCAGTGGGGGTCTATAATGTTCACAATTGTATCAACCATGCCTGGCCCAGCACTCAACATGTAATAAGACTTCAACAAATGCTTGTTAAACAAAAGGCTAAAGTTTTGAAAGTGCTTCCACCAGACTTTCTGCATTTTAAAATTCATTACAGGGGCCAGTACTGTGGCGTAGTGGGTAAAGCTGCCGCATGCAGTGCTGGCATCCCATATGGGTGCCGGTTCAAGTCCCAGCTGCTCTACTTCCAATCCAGCTCTCTGTTAAGGCCTGGGAAAGCAGTAGAAGATGGCCCTCAAGTCCTTGGGCCCCTGCACTTGCGTGGGAGACCTGGAAGAAGCTCCTGACTTCTGGCTTCGGATTGGCACAGCTCCAGCTGTTGTGGCCAACTGGGGAATGAACCAGTGGATGGAAGACTTCTCTCTCTCTCTCTCTTTCTCTCTCTCTCTCTGCCTCTCCTCCTTTCTCTGTGTAACTCTTTCAAATAAATAAATAAATATTTTTTAAAAAATTCATTACAGTGAGGTAGGGGTGTGTGTGTGTGTGTGTGTGTAGTGATTTGGCAATTTATCCCTAGGAAATCATTAGGCACACACAAATAAGTATAAATAATGGTTTACATAGTGAACCCTGGAAATAGCATGTTTGCCAGAGTGATGTGTGAACAGTTAAGTGTCAGGTTCTCCAAGGCTGACGAAGCTGGGACATGCCTTCCATTGAGTGTTAGGTGAAAGAGACTGGTCACAAAGCCACGCGTGTGGTCCCAGCTGTGTGTTAAGCACATAAAGGCCTGGAGGTGTGGCCACTAAAACATTCATAGTGACAATCCTTGGGTACTGGTGCGACCAGCGATTTTGATTTTATTCTATATGTTTTCCTGATTCTTCCAAATTTCCTGCAATGAATAGATGTTGCTATTATAATTGAGAAAGGAGCGTTTGAGGTTTAAAATGTGCCCGACCAGCTAAGGAAAAGGAAAAGAGCAGAGGTCCGAGGGTCTCAGGAGTGCCTCCTTGGTACCAGGAGTCAGAGACATCACTACCTGACCATCCCATTAGCCAACTGGATTCTCTATGCCCATCCTACAGTTACAAAAATAGCTCCGACTTACACAGGTCACACAGCCAATGATGCTGGGAGCCAGGCCCAGATCTATCTAAGTCCACAGCCCAGGCTCATTCCAGCCCACTCACATGCACACCTACTCACGAATACTGCATTGAAAATGTTAAAAATATAAGGAGCAGACATTTGGTGCAGCAATGAAGACGCTGCTTGGGATGCCCACATCCCATATCAAAGTGCCGGGGCTTGAGTCCTGGCTCTGTTTCCAATTCCAGCTTCCTGCTGATGCACACCTGGGAGGCAGCAGGTGATGGCTCAGACAATTGGGTCCCTGCTTCCTATGTTGAAACCCAGGTTGAGTTCCAGGCTCTTGGTTTCAGCCTAGCCCATCCCCAGTTCTTGCAGGCATTTGGAGAATGAACCAGATGGAAGATCTCTCTCCCTCTCTCTCTCTTTCTCTTTCTCTTTCTCTCTCTCTCCCTTCCTTCCAAATAAAGTGCAATTTGCAACTTTAAAAATACAAGGGACAGTGCTTTAGTCTGGCCCACCAGCCCTGCACGTAAACCACAGTAAGAAGGAGGCTGTTGGTGCAGCATTGTACATCTGTTGTTTCCACTGATGTGCGTGGGAACTCCCGTGAGATGGGCAGGACAGGATCAATCCCCTTATCACTGCGTCGTGGAGCAAATACACAGTATCTCGGAGAAGGGAAGTGAGACCTGGCCAAGGCTGACGAGTGAGGCGTGGCACCGCACACTGCCCATGCTCTCACCTTGCCCTTCAGCATGGACCCCACCTGCCCGTGCTTCCCTCTCCCACAAACAGCCAAAGCCAGGAGCCACTGACGCCAGTGAGGCCAAAGAGTAAACTCTCAAGCAGAGAAATCAATTCCACTTGGAAGACGCCACATAACTGGGACGGAAGGCGCCTGAATGGGGGCAGAGGCTCCGCCAAGTTGACCTGAGTGGGCAGCCAGGGCAATGGAGGCATCAGCAGAGAAGGGCAGACCCCGCGGGCTCCCCTCCCCTGCTTGAGTTCCCAGCACCCAGAGAAAACTACTGACACAGGGTGCAGGGAAGGGAGACCTGAGTCACTTTGTATTTGGCTGTTAAAGAGGTGACAGAGCAGCTCCTAGTTCTTTCAAAAGGAGCAAAGGCCTGGTCAGTGAGCCTGTCCTTCACACCCCCGTGCTGTGTGCTCCCCACCCTTCCAGTCTCTGCTGTCTTCCCTGGAAGGAATCAGCCTCCCTGGCTTCCCCTGAGTCCTTCCAGAGAGGACTTGCATATGCATATATGCAAATAAGAATCACATTCAAAACCCACCTCCCCCGCTTCCCATGATTTTAGACAATGTTGCACGAGGAACCCAGCGGTCCTGGATTCTTCTCATCCTTGCTCTGTCACTGTGCACCCTCAAGCCCATCTCTCAACCTCTCTGAGCCTTGCTTTTCTCATCCGTATAATGGGGTGAAAATCCACCCAGAGTTGCTGTGTGGCAGAAGCTGGATGCAAAGCCATGTGAGGAATCCCAATCTATTTTTTAAGTGCAATGAATAGACATGGAGCGGGCCTGGGTGGCTGTGAGGGGGAGTTTGGGAGTTGGTCCCTAAGTGGGGGTGGTTCCTCTTGGAGGCAAAGAGGCTGCAAGCTTCACCCAGAAGCAAGCTTTCATTTGATTTCATTTTTTAAATCTGTAGATGACGTTCTGACTTGGAGACCTGGGGCCTAGGAAGTGTTGGATGCTCTGTCACATGCTTGTCATGGAAGCCAACCCCTGTGTCTCTGTCATGGGTTCCCCGTCCCTATCCCTCCCCCCACCAAGATGAGATTTACACCCAGGACGCCTTCCTGTTCCTGTTTCAGAGAGCGGCATCCTGACGGGGCCAGACTGACAGTCACTGACGCTGGCCCAGCCAACTGGTTGTCAGTCTGCACAGCTATGCCCGGGGAACTGGGGTTCAGGGCCTGGGAGAGAGAAACGGAGACAGACCCCGAGACGTGGGGAAGGCAGGCAGACGGGATGCAGATTTCTGCACAAGGTCAGCCAAGAGCAGGGACTGAAGCCATGTCCCCTGGACAAGGCCTGACCAGCAGGCATTCTACTAAGGCTCCTGGGCTCCTGTCGGGAGGCCTGGGCCCTGACGTCTTTCCATCTACTCATCTGTCTGTCTTCCCCAAACTGCCTGCTGAGGCCTAGCCAGAGACAAACCCCATCCTTGGCACGAGGCCACATGCTACGATGAATCAGATCGGGCCGGCAGGAGCCAGTGGGTGGAAGACAGAGGACACACCAGGTGGAGGGCACAGCAAGGACCAGGGCTGGTGGGTGGGAAAATGTTTGGCCAATGCAGGCAGTGAGGTTGCATGAAGGGTAGAAGGCCTGAGCTTGCAGCAAGTGTGCTGATGGTCCCGGAGAGGAGGCCACACAGCAGGCTACACAGGGACAGAGTCCCTGAAGGGTGGAGGAAGCAGCAGAGAGGAGAGGGAGGGTGGGGGGCAGGGCCTCCGACTTGCTTCCATGGCGAGACCAGCTGGTTCTGTGGCTCTGTCTGTCAATGACGTGCCCATGGTTGATGCTGCTTCTCCCCACCCCACTCTGGGCTCTGGTTCCAACCAATCCAAGGGCTTAGATAGCCCTGTCTTGTCCCCTCTCTTATCCCAGGGCTCCCACACCCACAGCCCTCACCCTTGCTCCTGGCACCCCTGGGAAGGAGTAAAGGCCACAGGGTCTGGAGGAGACAAGATGGGGATGGAGCCCACACAGTCCCTGGCTGGATGGCCCTGGGCAAGTTACTGTACCTCTCTGGGTCTCCATCCCCTGCTCTGTCAAATGGAGCTACCAGAAACACTCAACCTCATAGGGCAGTGGAGAGCACAGACCCCCAGGCAAGACCCCCAAGCTTGGCCCAGCACCTGCCACAGCTCCAGCTCTGCACCCCTGATGGTCAGGGCAGTTCGTGGTTTAAAGGGGACTTCCAACTCCGGAGGACTCAGGACCCAGAGCTCGGTCCCCCGTGGTGGCACTGATGGCTCTGGGACTAGCCTGGGAGGGGGATGCGATGTGGGGAAACTGGGAAGCAGGGCAGCCCTCAGCCTGAGTGGGTCCTGGATCGCAGGAGCCGCACACGTGCCGAGGGAAAGGAGGGAGAGTCATCCGACCCAGGCGGGGCAGGGAGATGCCAGGAGAGGTTTAGCTTCACCGGACCCCGGGCAACTGGACTTGGGGCTCGACGGACCTGTAGATGGACGGGGGGCGGGGCAGGGCCGGCCTCTCTCGCCCTGCTGGGGGGCGGGGGGCGGGTTCCCCGGGAACCGCTCCTCCCGCCCGCCGCCGCTTTAAGAGGCTGCTCCGCTGCAGCGAGCGGGGCCTGAGCCGCAGCCCTCGCCAGCGGACCGAGCCGAGCGGACAGGTGCACGGCTGCGGGGACAGCAGCGGTATGACCGGCCACCACGGCTGGGGCTACGGCCAGGACGACGGTAGGCGCAGAACCGGGCCGGCCCCTGCCCAACTGGACCAGCGCCCAGCCGGGTTTCCCGAACCCTCAGCCCTCCACGCACCCGGCGAGACTGGAACCCCTCTCCCGTCCGGCGCCCGGAACCTGGCCCCCCTGCCTGGCTGCAGTCCTGGTTCCCCTGCGCCCAGTGCAAACTCTGCGCTGCGCCCAGGCGGGCCCCACGGCCAGCGGGGATCCGGCGACGGAACGCGTCCTGCCGCTTCCTCCGCGCAGCCCTTAACTGCCGAGGTCGCTTGGTCCCGGGTCCCGACACTCACTCACCCGAGGCGTGCGCAGCGCGTGGAGGGGGCCCAGGGCAGCGGCGGCCGGTGTTGGCGTGTGTGTGTGTGTGGGGGGGGGTCGGTGGAGTCGGGTGCGCGAATGTCTGTGCGGGGAGCGCGCACGGCGTGTGTGCGGGATCTCCGGGGAGCTGGGCTCCGCGTGGGCAAGGGCGCGGGGTCCCCGGGAGTTCCCTCGCAGAAGTGTCCGAGCTGCTGTGTGCGCTGGGAAGAGAAGAAAGGGAGTGTCTGAGGGCGCACGCACGGGGCTGAGTATCTTCAAGGAGCCGGGGGTTGCGCTCACTCGGGTGTGAGGTGGGGGAGCTGTGACCCTCACCAGCTTCCTGGACCCACCGAGAAGAGAGCGCCTCCATTCTGCCTCAGTTTCCCGAGGATTCAGGGGAAGCGAGAAAAGGCAGAAGGTGAGAGCCTGATGGCTTGAGTGTGGGTCTGGCGCAGGTCAGACCCCTTGGGGGCTGTTTCTTATCCAGCAGGGTGGGGTGATGGGTAAGGGCTTCCCCATCTCCCTGAGATGAACACTGGGGACCCAAGATCCAGGCTGTTGGGAGGACTCAGGGCAGGGCAGGTGGGGGTGGGGAGAAGAGGAAGTGCTGGTGGGAGGAACAGCCCCCCAGCCCCACTTCTCCAGTGAGAGACTGCAACTTTGTGCTGGGGCAGGGGTCCTGGAGGGCGGTCTAGGGGCCCAGGAAGTTGCAATGGAGCAGAAGAAGTCAGGGAGGTGCTGTGGAGTCTCTGGCCTTTCCCAGGACCCCAAGGACAAAGGAGTTGGGGTGAGGGGGTCCTGGAGCTGGACTTGCAAAAGCCGGAAAGAGGCACTCAGGAAAAGGCACCAGGGAAGAACAGAGGCAGAGGCAGAGGAGAGAAGGGGCGGGCTGACAGCACCCATATTTCCATCTTCCCCCCTGCTCCAGCACCCAACCCACTTTTGGGAGCTTACCCCGGGCCCAGAGTCCCCCTTGTCCCGCCCACCAGCTCCGAGCATCCAGTGCGCTGCCTGCTACCCTCCAGCAGCTGCCCCTGCCCCCGCCAGACCTGGGTCACCTAGGCTAGGGGCAATGAGGAAGGGACAGACAGAGGACAGAGGTGGCGGCATGCAGCAGCACTCACAGGACTTCAAAAATAACCCAGTGGGGCCGGGCCGCGATTCTGAGTCATCCACTGGGGACACAGCTCTGTCGGCACCTGCTGCTGTTTTCTCGGGAAAACTTAAGAAGCCAAAAAGGGGTAGAAGCACCAGCCGGCAGTGGCTCTAAAAATAGGCAGCATCTCAGGATGTTCCCCGGGGAGATGCTGAGCCTCTCGGCTGCAGATGGAGCCTCTGGGAGGCAGGTGGTGGGTGCCCGTGGGTGTACATGCAGGTGTGTGTGTGTGTGTGTGTGTGTGTGAGAGAGAGAGAGAGAGAGAGAGAGAGAGAGAGAGAACATGGGTATGTGTTCTACTGTGGCCCCTTCATGCAAACTTGGGATTCCAAAGGGGGGCCTTTGGGTGTGAGAGGGCATACATGTGTGTCAGGTGTAGTCAGCAGGGCTGCGTATGCTCGGACACATGCATGTTCTGCGCCTGGCCGCTGGGGGCCTGGTGAGCCCAGGTCACCATGCACATGTTTGTGCCCATGGAAGATCTCTGTGCACTTGTACGCACATGCCTGAGGATGGCAGCGGGGGGGGGGGGGGGAACACAAGCAAATACCATGTGTTTAAACCAGTGCAAAGTGTGTGTGTGTGTGTGTTCATTTGCACATGTGCATGGTGTGCCCACAGGTCCTTCGTCTGTGAAATGGGCATGGTGCTGGTTTCTAATTCCCAAGGTGCAGGAAGAGGCTACACACACCCTAGGGTCAGGGCAGAGATTTTCGATACCTGGGGGCCTCCCTGAGTGTGTGTTGGGAGGTTGGCACTGAGGAGACCCTCCCTCCCTAAGCCTGGTTGCTGTGTTACGTTCCCTGCCATGCATTGCCTCTCTGGGTCTCCTGCCAGCACTGGGAGGTGAGTTTTAGCAAGGCCATTTCACAGACAAAGAAACAGAGGCCGAGAGGGGAAGCGGCAGAGCTTGGATTGGAACTCCAGGAGGTGCAGCTCCGAAGCGAGGCTGCCCTCTGAGCGGACACCAGGGAGACAACGTCCCAGGGGTCCTCCGCCTGCAGGCCTGCGACTCCGGCTGGCCTGAGTCCTTGCCTCTCCCTACTGCAGGCCCCTCGCATTGGCACAAGCTGTATCCCATTGCCCAGGGAGACCGCCAGTCCCCCATCAACATCGTCTCCAGCCAGGCTGTATACTCACCCGGCCTGCAGCCGCTGGAGCTCTCCTATGAGGCCTGCACGTCCCTCAGTATTGCCAATAACGGCCACTCTGTCCAAGTGGACTTCAATGACAGCGACGACCGAACCGGTGAGTGGCCCCCGCCAAAGCCTGGTGCCTGTCCCTGCTAGGGCCCTAGTTGGGGAGTTTCAGAAGGGGCTGCATGCCGTGATGGGGAAGAAAAGCTCCATCTCTCATTGGCCTTGGTCCCCTTACCCATCAAACGGAGCAAAGGTCTAAGGGGCGCTCATTTACCCCTCTTAAGGACCCACCTCTCAGATGGACAGACTGAGGCCTGATGAGCAGGCAGGGCAGAGATTTCTCTTTCCAACTCACCCGCGCCCTCAAGGTCCCAGGCATCTTGTGCCAGAGATAGGCTGTTGGGAACTCGTGGAAGTGCCCTGGGGCTAGAGTCCAGGTTCTTTCATCATAAATTTCTAGACAGTGGCCTCAGGGGTGCTCTGTAGTAAGGGATTTTTTTTTAACTTTTATTTAATGAATATAGATTTCCAAAGTATAGCTTACGGACTACACTGGCATCCCCCACCCCACCGATGACTTCCCCCCGACCCGCAACCCTCCTCCTTCCCACTCTCTTTCCCCTTCCATTCTTATCAAGATTCATTTTCAATTTTCTATATATACAGAAGATCAGTTTAGTATACATTAAGTAAACATTCAACAGTTTACACCCACATAGAAACACAAAGTGAAATATACTGTTTGAGTACTCGTTATAGCATTAAATCTCAATGTACAGCACATTAAGGACAGAGATCCTACATGAGGAGTAAGTGCACAGTGACTCCTGTTGTTGACTTTACAAATTGACACTCCTGTTTATGGCATCAGTAATCTCCCTGTGCTCCAGTCATGAGTTTCCAAGGCTATGGAAGCCTTTTGAGTTCACCGACTCTTATCCTATTTAGACAAGGTCATAGTCAAAGTGGAGGTTCTCTCCTCCTTTCAGAGAAAGGTACCTCCTTCTTTGAAGACCTGTTTGTAGTAAGGGATTTTACAGCTGGGCCTTTGCAGGGAACAGGGTAGAGTGGGACAAGGAGGCAACCTGCTACTTTCTCAGGTGGGGAAGTGATTGCTTCTTTGCCCCTCCCAGAAAACGCTCAAGAGACTGAGAGTTTCAAAAAGAAAATCAAAAGGCAGAGGAGAGGAAGGAAGATGTACCTTTCAAATAAAGAGTTCTGAGCTCCCTGGCAGGCTAGGAAAAAAGGGGGAAAGGATCAGTTACAGTTCCGGCTGCAGGAGGAAGTCTAGCACATTGTCAGGGTAGAGAGAGCATTTCCTGGCACCGAATTCTAGGAAAAGCCTCTCGTGCAGAGCTTTGAGGAGGGACACGGGGCTCTGGATGACCCTCAGCGGCAGATTAATAAGTTTTGTGTGCCCGTTCCTTGTAACTGCTTCCACGGGGGCTCTGCGGGTTCAGTGAAGGCTGCCGAGCTGGGGGGGGGGGGGGATGCGGTGCAGGGAGAACTCAGGATGGTGCCTGTGGATCACCGATCCAGGTCTCACAGTCAGGCCTGGGCTGGGGCTCCATCCCTGCTAACGCCCAGCTGCAGGGGTCAGGGCGCTGGAGGAAGGAGGGGTGAGACAGCCGGGCTCTGCCACTCACCCACTGTGCGTTGCTCTGGAGGTCAAACAGATTGATGCCCTCTGAGACCCGGACACACAATGACTGGCAGAGCCCTCCCTGGTCAGGACAGGACAGAGGCGAAGGGACCAAGCTCAAGGGGTTGGAGAAGGGGTTCCCTCTCTGGGAGACCACAGTGTGAGGTCCCAAATGGTGCATGCTCAGGGGAGTGGGCCCGCCCAGAGGCCTGCCAGAGAGCTCAGCCTTCAGGCCAGGCTGTCCCTGCCCCCTGGGAATGAGGTAGCCTGGTTGGTGCCCCGCCCACAGCCACCACCCTCAGACTCCCTTGTCCGCCTCACCAATGCCCTGGGGAGGCCTGCTCTCAGATACAGCAGGACAGCGAGGAGGGCCTCTGGACTGTCCTGTCCTCCCCCTCCCAAGTGGCCTGCAGAGGGCCAAGGCCCTGCCCTGGGCACCCTCGCCAGGGCCTTGTGGAACTGTAAGCCTGGGTGGCCACCTGATCCGGGGGCTCACTTTCCGTCCCGGCCAGGGCTGCCGCCACTGCCAGATCCCTTTCAGCTGGAAATTCTATCAGTGCTAGGAGGCCTTTGTGTGGCTGCGGCTCGCTGGGTATCAAGGTGAGAAAGTCACAAAACCAGTACAAGAGGCACCGCCCCCCAAGAGGCCATTTGTAGGGGGCACATGGCCCTGGAGGCACCTGAGCCTGGCCTGTAGGGTGGGGATCCTCAGGAGCTGACCTTCTCTGGGGTGACCCAGGAGGCAGCATGGCCAGCTGATGGGGAGCCTGGGCTCTGGATATAGGAGATGCTGGCCCATACCCTAGCTCAGGGCCTTGCTATGTGACGTTGGGCAAATGCCTTGCCCTCTCTGTGCCTCAGTTTCCTCCTTTAAAAAATAGAGAGGGGAGCAGGCTCTGTCGCTCATGAGCTACTGTGATAACTAAGCAAAATAATCCTCCCATGCAGCCCTGAGACATTGCTCCGGATGCCGAGGCCCCAGGTTAGAAGGGACAAGGGCTGCAGAGGCAGGAGGGCCCAGCTTCCCTGGGGAGGCTGGCAACCATGGGGGGAGTGGCCAGAGGGAGACCTCGACTCCGTCAGACCCAGACCCCTCGGTCACCCGCAGGTTGTCCCATTGTCTGCCCTGGCCCAGCTTAAGGACCTAGGGGGCTCATGGGGGCTGACCCCAGCCCAGGCAGCCCACCCAACTTTCCAAATGGAAAATACATCCCCACCCTGGGCTGCCACACTGAGCCGTGAGAGTCCTTTCAGCCAACTGCTATGCACCCACTTCTGCCCGCAGTGGTGACGGGGGGCCCCCTGGAAGGGCCCTACCGCCTCAAGCAGTTCCACTTCCACTGGGGCAAGAGGCGCGATGCAGGCTCGGAGCACACCGTGGACGGCAAGTCGTTCCCCAGCGAGGTGAGGGCCCAGGGGCTAGGGGTGCCTGGTGCAGGGCCCCGGAAAGGAGGGGAGCACCCAGGGGCCTTTGGGAGACCCCCCAGTCTGCACAGGGTCTTCCTCTTGAGCCCCCCACGCCCTGCAGCCGCTTTCAAGAGCTGAGCCTGGCCGCTTCTCCCGAGCTGTTCTCTCCACCAGGAAGGCCTCTCCTCCAGGCTCCCATTTGCGAACCCTCTCCTTACTCTTTGAACCCAACTGCAGGTGCTACTTCCTTGCTTCCTGGGGGGAGGGGGGAAGAAGGTATCACCCTAGACTGCTGTCATCTATAATTCAAAGCCGGTTCATGTGAGGGCAGGGCCTCAGCCAGAGTGCCCTCTGGGTCTCCTGGGACTCCCGGAAGGGTGGGCACAGAGCTGGGTGGGTGCCTCTGGGCCTCCAGTGTCCCAAGCCTTGGACGTTAGAGGTCCTTCCTCCAGGAGAGGGAGTGAAGAAGGCCTGGCTCAGAGCTCCCACTGCCTCTCGGAGGCGCTGAGCACGGGCTCAGCCTGGCCCCTGTGCCCCTGCAGCTGCACCTGGTGCACTGGAACGCCAGGAAGTACAGCACTTTTGGGGAGGCAGCCTCAGCCCCGGATGGCCTCGCTGTGGTTGGTGTTTTCTTGGAGGTGAGCGATGGGTCCCCTGGAGCCCCATCCCCCCAGGTTCTGGGACAAGTGGATGCAGGGCTCACACCACCCTCTCCCTTACAGACGGGGAATGAGCACCCCAGCATGAACCGCCTGACAGATGCGCTCTACATGGTTCGGTTCAAGGTGAGACTTAGCGGGGATCCCTGCCCTGGATCCACTGAAGTCTGATGGGATGGGGGGAAGAGGCGGAGTCCCAGAATGGGTCCATCCACTCCTTGGTTCTGGCAGCAAGCCCATGCTTAGGCCATGGGTGAGGGTCAGCTCCTGCGTGAACCT